AAGAATTTCTTTTTGCCAGCAATTATTCTAATGAGCCAGCTCAGCAGATCACATGTCCGAGAGGGGAATAGTTGGTTCTTGGGGATTTGATGCTAAAACAGCCACTATTCTTTCAGAATGACTAAACTTTTAAGTTAAAAGTCTGAGTTACATGTACGGATCTGGAATCCACTAAATTACTTCCTCTGACACATCCTCATTCCTCAGTCAGAGATAATTTGGTTATAATTGAGCTTCATAATTGAGCAACATGCAAATATGCTTTGTGAACGGATTTGCAACTACCAAAGTACACTTCCACCCAAAAAGCAGAATGCACACGTGTGTAGCACCCTTCCCTAACACACATCTTTATTCCACACTTGATTGAAGAAATAAAATAAATAAATCAAAGAAGCCTTGCTGGGTTCTAGTGGGAAACACATTTCAAACTCCAGACAGGGAGGAGAAAGAAAGCAATTGTGATTAATCACACTCATTACCGAGTCACTCTTCTGACCAGCACACGGTGTGGAAGGTCTCATTATTCCCTCCTGTAAGAAATCAGGGGAAATAAGTAAGTGGAATGCGGAAAAGGCGAACCCTTTGGTACATGTCTGAAGCTGGTAAAACTTTATTATTCAGGTGAGGCTGGGTGTCCCCTCTGGGTTTGCAGTGGTACCTGAGAACAGGCACACAGTGACTGAATTGTTTCAACTTATCCAAATAGCATTGAAATAGACTTAATTGTTGCACTAGAGGAAAAACCATGTGTCCCTAGAGACTATTAGTGGCATTTAAAAGGCTAAATGTATCATAAAACCTGTCTTTAACAGAATAAAATTGTACAGACCAACACAATTTTCGTTAATGTTTTCCACATTTCTTGAAATGAGAGAAAAAAGAGAGAAAGAAAAAAGAAAGAAGGAAAAAGAAAAAAAAGGAGACTGGCTGGAGGTTAGTCTCCCAAGCCACTGAATTTTAGGAGTATTTTAAATATACAAACCAAATATCTTTTAAAAAGTTAAGTGTAGTTTGAATAAAAACATTCCAATTTGAGAAGGTAAATTTAGTCCATGTTTCTTTTATAAAGTGGGATTTTAAACAAGAGTAAAGTTCCAGTCATCTCCTGTTCTGTGCCTTCAAAGTCACAGTGACTCCGTAGCCAGCCTCACTGACTATTTTTTTAATTTGGTTTTATTTTTCATTCTTGGAAAATACTTGTCCAACGTAGTTTTTCTATATTGCCTATGCTGTGCCTGGTGGACAAACACTGTGCTTCTCTCAAATGATATCCCAATAGAAAAGTGTGGAGAAAAGATTGAATCATTGCTTTTATTCTATCAAAGAGACAAAAGAGGATTCATTCTCACTAAAGGAGTTCAGTATATAATGGTGAATATAATGGTGGATATAATGGTGGGGGGGGCGGCAGACAAATAGCAACTCAAAGCTGGACTGTAAGGATGTTTTATTTATCTGTCCCTTCTTCTCGCCTGCTTGTATATCTGCTATTAAGAAAGCTCTTTCACATAACTTCTGTGAACATAATTGTGATGTTACACATTTAGTTGCTATAGAAATGTATGATGCAACGCTCTCTTCCCGTCACAGCCTATAACTTTTTCACATCTAACCTGAATATTTCTTCTGTCTCCACTAGTCCTTAGTGATCAAGGTGGGCAGGGGTGCAAAACAAAACAAAACTGTGGATATCACTTTGTTCTTTCTCTGGCCATTCTCAGAGTCGGGACATGTGGACGGAGATTTCCTGTAACTGAAATGTTAGGATTTCTTGCCCCTGCTTCAGTTCTCATTAAACTCCAGGTGAGGGCAAACAATGCCATCTTCTTTACTGTTAATCAGTAAATGAACATATAAGATGCACATTTCTAAAAGACACAGAAAATGTGACAAGTGACTGTGACAGAGGCAGGGCCACAGTGAGAGTCGAAGGTCGGCTAAGGCCTGATCTTTACAACAGAAACATCCCCCAGCACCCCATTGTTTATTTTGCCTTTTTTAAAAACTGTTGATTTACTTTTGAAGTAAGGTCTCAGCTATTCTGGGATGACTTTGAACTCACTAGGCAGTCAAGGATAACCTTGAACTCCTGAACCTCCTGCTTCTACCACTTCATTATAGACATGTGCCATCATGCCCAGTTATGGGCACTGGGGTTGAAGACCAAAGCTTTGCGCGTACCAGAAAAGCATTCTAGCACACCGGCACCAGGACCCCATTCTCAAGGACTGGCCAACCCTTGCTGTGGCTCTAGAACTTCCATGGAATGACAGCATGACAGCAGTGTTCGAAAACAGGTTAAGAAGTCAGGGAGCTGACAGCTGTTGGTTAGAGATGACCTTTCTCTTTTCTAGGAGACAGAATGGACACAGAGCACAGTAATATACTTCTTAGTGTGACTTTCCCAAGTCACATCTGAGCAGGAACACAGGTGAAGTAGCATGTCCCACAAGCCTGTGGGATCTCAGAGCAATGACATTTGCAGCCTCCAGACCCAAGAACAATCTTTGTTGCCAGCAGCAGGGAGCAAGGGTCAGTGGTGGCTGGCAAAGCTAGATTTGGTCTTTCAGCCAAGTTACTCTCCACCTTCCCACTGCCAACCTAAGACTCAAGGTCTTCTCCCAAGCCCAGCTCCCGTTTCTCTACCCATATGGACCTAGTGGGAACATGGGAAAGGCTTCACATTTTGTCACCTCTTGGTTTGAATTAAATTGTTCCCGATGCCTACTTTTGCTTTGCTTTCTCCACCATTATTTCTCATAAAAACTAATTTGTTTGCATGTGTGTGTGTGTGTGTGTGTACATGCTTATATATGTGTGTGTACATGAATATGAGAGTAAGGGTGGAGACCCAAGGATGGCAACTTCTGGATTGTTCCTCAAGAAACATTCGCCTTATTTTATTAAACAGGTTTTCTAATGGAAACTTCAAGCTCTCATTCAGTTTAGCTGGGTGGCCATCAAGCTTCAAGGATCCTCCTTTTGCTGCCTCTCCAACATGGGGACTGCAAGCATGTATGCCCGGCTGTTTACATGTATGCTGAGTACTGAACTCGGATCCTAGAGCTTACATGGGTCTTCTTCTCCACCTTTAAAACCTACTTTATCTCCCCATATCCATTTGGGAGCCATCTTTACCACCACGGCAATCTTAGTGCTGTGGCCGGAGTGATCGACCCACCATCCGTCTTTGCCTGTGTAGCTTCACTCATCTCGTTGGCTTGTCATCTTTTTGTAGGAGAAGAATACGCCTCTCTCCCTTCTTCATCTCTAGCCTCTTGAAGGTGAGAACCAGGTTGCTATCACCCTTGAAGCTCCCAGAGTGCCTTGTATGGGATCTACTTCTATGAAGCTTTCCACTTAGGGGAAGAGATCTCCTGTCCAGATCCCAGTCCTGAAAACCTACTTGCTTCCTCAGATCCATGAGCACACCAGCATTTACAGGATGCAGTATGTTCTTCTAAACCCCCATAGACTGTGCACCAACCCCTGAAACCATTCCTTAATATTATTTCCTATTATCCAGGGAACACATGTTTTTTGAATTGATGGATTTAAATATATACTGGCCCTGAATTTAGTTGCTTTTCTCACCAGTTTAGGGAGAGAATCAGATTCCACTATTCCCTGTACTCATATATATTCTCCCTGATGTGCACCATAGAAAGGATTTCTGAAAGCCCCTGAAAGACACATAATAAATCCACTGCGTCTCCTTTCTTACGGTTTTGTGCTCTATTCAGAAATACAACAGTTCTGTTTCATGTTTGTATTCCCTTAAGCATAGCATGTAAATAGTGAGTAAATATTTATTGAATTCAAGATGAAGAATGCAAGGAAGCGGGGGAGAAGGAAGAGAGGGAAAACGGAGGGAGGGATAAGGGAAGAAATAGTACATCATTTCCCATTTTATTTTAATTGCTAATCAGATACACAGCCCTCTCCTCTTGGTTTCAAGGCCCAGTGGGAGCTTTGTGCTGTGATTTTTGGTGTAGATTATGAAGAAGCCACAGGATGAGTCACTGAAAAGGAAACTCAAAGGTTTCGTATTTTAAGATGAGGCAGAAGGCAGCTATAATTATGACTGCTCACTGTTGTCAACAGACAAAATGTATTCTCTCCTTTCACAAACTCCAAGGTATTTTATTGTGAGTGATACACAAGTTCATTTGCAATCTACAGATGCCCAAACCATTCTTCTTGAGCTGTTCTTCTAAGTACTTCCCTCACCAATGGTGTTTGGGGGCACCTTACTTTTCTCACTGCTCTAAATAAAAAAAAAAAAACAATTAACTTCCTTCTAACTTCAGGTGAAATTCTCTAGGTCAAGACAGAGGTGGCTGCAGAATCACAAGAAGTAACACCTTGTACAACTCCTTCCAGCAGCAGTGTCCACCCCTCTGCAGTGCTGAAGGTTAATGCTGGTCTTGCAGGGAATGCTGCCTGTATGGGTAGCAAGATCATGAAGGAAAATCTCATTTGTGTTGGGTAGCTCCGGAAGATGCATCCATACTCCCATTGTATTGTGAAATGAATCAGGGTGGTTGGAACAATGGAGCTCTCCAATGCGCAATCCCAAGGAGGTAACAGCTTGATGCTTGATGGCTTGATCACTTGATCAGCAACATATTGCTCTCTCTCTCTCTCTCTCTCTCTCTCTCTCTCTCTCTCTCTCTCTCTCTCTCTCTCTCTCTCTCTCTGTTTCTCCCCCATCTGCCTCCGCCTCTCCCTCCCCCCCTCTCTCTGCACTGCATGGTTTCATAGTTTACAAAACTACAAAAGGCTATCATGCTGGGTTACTGTGCTTCAGCTTCAAACTGCACACATTTCAATAGTCACTTTACCCATTGTACAGATGTGTCAGGAGAAGGATTGGTGGATGACAAAGCTAGAGTTACAAACAAAGTATCAGACTCCATGATTGCTTTCAGTACAAATGGCATGCTCTAGCTTTTAAGATTTAGGTGATGCATTTTTCCTTTTGAAAGTATTTGTAAGAGAGAAACGCATGAACACAAGTCCCCAGGACCACAAATTATGCAGTGGGATGTTCTGTGTTTGGGGAAGTTGCAGGGCTTAACATACCTGGAATACAATTTATAAGCTTCACCTTGGGAAAACCACCTTCTAGACCATGGCATCTCAGCTGCCGGGTAAGCATTAGACAATGCCTTTTTAAATGACTGTGATTTTTCATTGGTATTCATGGGTATTCAATGATTTCACTGTTGAATTCAGAATCATGACCTGATGAAAACCAGTCCACGTTTGCGTGTTCAGATGATAGTTCGAGCTGAAGTTTCTCATTCATCTTGGGAATATTTTCAGGAATGCAGATACTCAGCAGTGAGATGTCCTGAGCGTGCAGATACCAACTGTCCTTTCATCTGCTCTGTCACAGGCTTTTCCTTTTGCGGGTACAACTGGTCTCCATCACTTTCCTCAGCACATCTTCCTGCTTTGGAGCTGAAAGGTGAGCGTACTCCTTCCTTAGTAAGGACTGACATTTAGGAGTGTCATTTAGTGAACTGGTGTCACCAGCAGTTATTTCATTCAAATGTCCTTTTCAGAAGAATGCCCCTAACAAACTAGGACATGGACATACACGAGTCACTCAAATTCCTTACTTGTTGCAAGGGACTTTGCAAGCTTTTTAAGATGTGTCTCCCCTCCCATTGCAGATAGTGTGAGGAGAGTGTGTGCTGCTTTTTTGTTAAAGTGTGTGTGTGTGTGTGTGTGTGTGTGTGTGTGTGTGTGTGTGTGGTGTCTGGGTTTGTTCACTCAGGTGGAGGCACCCATGGTGGCCAGAGGCGTGGGCACCTCATAGGCTGAGAGTAGCATGTGGTTGGTTGTGAGCTGTCCATCACAGGCGCTGGGAAACAAGCTTGCATCCTTTGAAAAAGCAGCAAACACAATTAACTGCTGAAGCATTTCTTGATCCCGTTTGTGTTGCCGTTAAAACTATACATTAATCGCTGTGTTGAAATTATGCCCATTAATTAATAATTAGACCAATATAGTCATGATAAAGAATTTTTATGTAAGAAGTAAATGTGAGTGATCAGAAAGACCACTGGCACCTTCAATCCCTAATTGTATTAGAATTTTAAATGTGTTAAATTATTTAGTATTTCTCTTTTTGCACCAACCAGTGTCCCCTATGTTAAAAAAAATTTAAACTTTTATTAACTTGTGTTTGTTACATGTTATAATGGGGTTCGATGTAACACTTCTGTACATAACAAATAGCATGCATTGATAAAAATGAGCAGATTTTTATTTATTGAAGTATGCCTCAAGAAAAAGTGAAAATGCACCAAAACGCAGATATAAGTAAAATGCTCCCATAATAGGAAACAATTGAGATACGCCTACATTTTCTTTGAGTCTTTCCTCCATTTTTTCTTAAGATTTTCTTCTAAGTCACTTTATGTCAATACTAATACATATTATGTGGGTCAATGGCCATAGCTGTGTAACTGAAATACACTGAGATGTTTTTTTAAGATTCTGTTATGATGAATGTGTCCAAAAAAGCATACACACATTTTTTTCACAATAGTACATTCTAACATATCCTTATAGAACAGAAACATTTGTTGGTACATGTTTCTCCATTACTATAAAATATTGCATGCATTTCTAAAAGTATTTTCCCATACCCTCTTTTCCCACACCCTGTTTCCCCATACCCTGTTTTCCTATACACTATTTTCCCACATACTATTTGTCAAAGACGGTGACACTCACTCTAGCTTTCAATGACATCTATGTCTTTTTTGAAAAAAAAACAAACATTTTTATTTTCACACAATAAAATGTAGCAGTTTCTTTTTTCCCAGTTTTCTTTGTAATTTTAGGTCGAGAAATTATGTTTTGGGTATTTTTAGTGAAATTATTGCTTCACAGGGCGGAGATGCGGTCCTGAAGGGAATAGCTGTGACCTTGAATAATTTCAGGCTACTCTCCCTACAGGGTTTGAATGTTCCAATCTTTTGCAGCCATGACGATGTGAAGTGCAATGATCTTAAGCTTTCTAATTTCTCTTATAGTGCTCAAAATCTGCCCGGCTTTGTCACAGAAAGCTTGGAGATGCTGTGTCTAAAGAAGGGACAGAGCCGTGGCTGTCCCTATGTTTGAGGAATCATTTATCACAGGTTGCTGTCTGGTCGTCCTGTGGAGGGATCTGAACTTCTAGCTCACACAGGACGTGTTCGTCTGCTGTGTCCCATCCAAGTAGCACTCCAGCAGAACATTTCCTGCGCCATAGTGAGCCTGTCACTTCCGAGAGCTGTGGTATATCATCGCTAGCTCTTCTGTTTCCAATATGTCACAGACTTAAAAACTGTAAAGGACGTCCTTGAAAACACACTTCTTAAAGCATGACAATATTTTTGGGGAGAACTTCTAATATGGAATGTTGAGACTGAAGGCTTTGAATTATGTAACTTTGTTCCCATTTTCAATGTACTTAGACTCTGGGTTAGAGTGTGCTATCCATTTGCAATGTTTGGCTTTTCAATTTTAGTTTGGCTAAACACTATTCTATCATTAAAGTGTGTATGTGTAATAATACTTTAGGTAAAATATGTGTCCCGTGAATGCTTTATATGTTACTGTCCACAGTTTGGTTAAAGATTTCTTTCCTGAGGGAATGGAGAAATGTCATAATTTATAATCCCAAATATATATATACACATATGTATACATACATACATGATACATACATATTTGATGGAAGAAAAAAAATGATCCCTTCCTTACCGTCATTTTACTGAAAAGGTAAACTTCAAATTTTATCCATGAAGCTGTGGATATCAAATTGTGTATTTTTGATCAAATAAACTTTATGAGAAACTTGATTTGAAGTTTTTTCATTAATTTTACATGTGGAAAAAAATTTTTGACTTGGAGACTGTACATACATATTTCCCTCCCTCAGTTGTGTTTTCTTTCCTTTTCTATTTTAATTTGACTTATTCAGAACTCTTTCTGGTTTCTTGTTTGTTTGTTTTGGTTTTGATTTTTGTTTTTTGTTTTTGTTTTTCGAGACAGGGTTTCGATAGGTATTGTTTTGGAGGCTGTCCTGGAACTCACTCTGTAGACCAGGCTGGCCTCGAACTCACAGAGATCCTCCTGCCTCTGCCTCCCGAGTGCTGGGACTGAAAGCATGCGCCACCAATGCCTGGCGAACTCTTTCTGGTTTACAGTGAGGGTTAACTGTTTTCTCTCAACCCTTTAGTCACCAACCAAGCAAGTCTGCCTGTCCTTTCCTTCCCATCGTCACTTAAGCAAACTTCAGATCCTCACGCAGCGCTTTCTCGAGACCATCGCTTGCATTTCACTGTGTCTTCTTCAATTTTTTCTCCAGTTTTATTTGCCTCGATGACACAGAAGAATAAAATATTTTTCTAGAACTCAAGGCATCAAAAAACAAACAAACAAACAAAAAACTGCACACAACGTAGTCGACGGACAAAATCATCTGCCCCTGTGGCCACAGCTGCCTGTGAGGAGAGGTAGCTGCTGACAGGTAGATGGGAGTTGTCTGGTGCTCTCAGTTCTCAGACAGACGGATGGTGGGGAGACCCGGACTCCATGGCCCAGACTAGAGAAAGCTGAGACGGGGACTGACCGCTGCTTCCACGCCTTGCAGAGAACACACGCCCAGTGCCTCTGAAGAAAATGTCCCGTTTCCTGGGTTGAGTAAAAGGCAGACACAGAGCATTCAGGTATTCAGAAGACTGGTGTCTAATAGGTAAAGTCTCTTTGTGCAAACCCCATGTTCTTTCCCTCCCTAGGCATCCGTGTCCTACTGCTTGGCAACTTGGGTATTTCTGCTGCGTTGATGCCCAGTGGACTGGGAGAAGGCACGCTTTCCGTCTGTTTAACTGTACGTCATGACGCTTCTGCTTTTCAACAACATTTCTGCCAACTGAAAGACCCGGGGCAGGGTTTGCTACGTTTCCCTAGCTGTCAAGTTGATGTCACAGTCTTTGTCCCTTGAAATAAGCTCCGTCTTTCAAACTGAATTATCTGCCAGGTCCCGGGAAGCCTCACCGAGCTCATCTCAAGTGCTTGAGTTGCTAAACGGATCCTATGCCAGCTAGTATGGTGCTGTCTCCTAGTCTCTGCATCACTCCAGATTTGGGGGCAGTTTAAACGAACCCCTGATACGCGGTGGGCAGGGGACAGTTTCCTGTCGTTGGCCTTATAAGCAGGGAAAAGATTTCCAAGGCAGAGTTTCTTTTGCGCTGTCCCTGTGCTCTGCACCCTTCCCAACTGTTGGGTCGTGCCGGCACTGGAGGGTGGGCATCCGCCAGCTGACCCCCAGCGGAGACTTTTGAGAGCGATCGATCATCCTCAGCCACTGTGGGTCTTAGGAGAACTTAGCCGCCACCCTCTGGTGGACGTGTTAATTGACTTTGTTTTACCACTTAAAATTATTATCCAACACTTATGATCTTTTACATGTTTTTAATTAATCTCATTAAAGTTGTTGGAATTATTTCAAATTAAATATACTTAGTTTATTTTAAATCAGAAAATAAATAACTTAGGGACTACTAGATTGTCTGAAGTCTTATGTGGCTAATTTGAGCCCCTTTCCCAGTGAGTGGTACCAGAGAGCTATGATCAGGATATTGTGAGCTGGAGAAACCTACCTCTCACGTTTACAGGGACAAGTGACCAAAGGACAGATCTAGGCCACAGGCCAACCCTTTTCATAGCGGATGTCTTAGTATTTTGCTAACCAGGTTATCACTAGCAGCCTATGCTGTCACAATTTGTTTTTCGTTTGTTTTTTTTTTTTTTCTCTTTGACTATTGTTCAGGAGAAGTATGCCATCTTCTGAGAGTAGGAACTAGAGTTTGCCTCGCCTTCTCTCCATGTTGGTTTTGAAAAGCATTACTTAGTCTCTGGAGTGTCAGGCCTCCTTTCTGACTCGGCTGCTGTTTCAGCCTCAATACCACGCAGTACCACTGTGGGATCTGCTCCTCCTTTTTCATGATTTTATTTTATTTTCGCATTTCATCTATCATGGTGCTGGCTCATCTGCAATTTGCGGTCTTCCCCACTAGCATTTCATGTTTCGTCTGTATAATCTGCCTCCATCCCCTTCTGCCCCCATTCCCACTGCTCATGCACCTAAATCATGTT